TGAAGTGAGTCTTGCTGAAGATTTATTATAGGTTTAGTATTACGGTGTATGTTACAGGGTTACTCTAGGTCACAGAGACAGATTCTAGTTAAAACCATGGCATGCTTTTTAAGATAGCCAGATGTTAGATGTTGTTGAGTTATAGTTTACTATTTTCTCAAGTGAGACGTCACTCCTCTTCAAAAAATAATAATACTGAAATAGGTCATAGCTTGCATGAAAACAACAGGTCAGGCCAGAGGAAGTTCAGTGAATGTCATTAACAAACCTCCCAGTCTTATTTTATACTTCCCCATTCTTCACTACTGAAACTTGGTATCCAAAGGCAATATATACTACTAGCTCCTGAGTATATTTGGACCTTGAGTAGTTGGATTGAAGGTATTTTGGTGAGAGTGCCTGTTACTGTATCTACCTATGATCCAACACTCAGAAAAAAGCAAGGCTGGAATGGTTAGTATGAAATGATAGTTTTTGATTTAAACTAACTATATGCAAAATAAAGGAAAGGGCTTTATAAGATGAGGATAAAAATTCAGCTTAGACTGATGGTAAATACTCACCACCTATTTAATCACAATTCTCTATGGATGCAGATGATTTTCCTGTCCCCCTTTGTAGTATTATGGTGTGGATGAGTTGGGTAAAAATGTTTCTGGTCTGGAAACACCAAGAGTAACCTTCTCTACTTTTCCTTCAGTGACAATCTATTCTTTGTGTGTCTAATCACACTTGGCCAAATAAAGTATAGTATGGCATGGCACGGCATGGCACAGCATTCCATTCCATTCCGTTCCGTTCCATTCCATTCCATTCCATTCCATTCCATTCTTTGGAATGCTCCATCTATGAATGGTTATTTGTAAAGTCATAATGCAATTTCTTTATATAAGGTTTCAAGTGTTGTGTGTAGATCTAACCATTATGATTTGCTAATCAGTCTATAGCTCAGTGCTGTGTAGAAACAGACTTGGGACTGGGTGATCTGGTTGAGTGTCATGATCTAAGCCCCAGAGCTTAGACTCACTGTAACAGCATTGCCAAAAAGACATTAAGAATGGTTAACCTGATTTTGCAAAGCTTCTTCTCTGGTAACACTATATTTCTAACTAGGGCCGTGATGGTGAACCTATGGCACATGTGCCACAGGTGGCATGCGTAGCCATATCAGTGGGCATGTGAGCTCAGCTCCGGTCCCATCAGAAGTTGGGCTGATGGGCCATTTCTGGCCTCTGGAGAGCATCCGGGGGTGGTGGTGGTGGGGAAGACTGTTTTTGCCCTTCCCAGATTCTGGAAAGGCTCTGGAGCCAGGTGAGAGAGAAAAACGGGCCTACTGGGCCATCACATGCCAGGAGTGGGGGTCTGGGGGGGGGTCGCGCATGCATGCGCGGGGCAGGGCATATAGAATTACGAGTCTTGCTGAAGATTTATTATAGGTTTAGTATTATGGTATACGTGCTTGTGACCCCCCCCTCACCCTCCTCCTGGCATGCGATGGCAAAAAGGTTAGCCATCACTGAACTAGGGCATACAAAACCTTTGCCAGACCAATTCTCGAATACAGCTCGTCTGCCTGGAATCCACACTGTATATCAGACATTAATATGATTGAGCAGGTCCAGAAGTATTTCACAAGAAGAATACTCCATTCCTCTACTCGCAATAGAATCCCTTATGCCTCCAGGCTTCAAATTTTGGGTTTGGACAATCTGGAACTGCACCACCTGTGGTCTGATCTAAACATAGTACACAAAATTGTCTGCTACAATGTCTTACCTGTCAATGACTTCTTCAGCTTCAACTTCAACAATACATGGGTAAACAAGCTAAAGGTAAATTGCTTCAAACTCAATTGCAGAAAATACGATTTCAACAACCGAGTGGTCAATGCCTGGAATGCTCTACCTGACTCCATTGTTACATCCTCAAACCCTCACAGCTTCAGCCTTAAACTGTCTACCGTGAACCTTACCCCATTCCTAAGAGGTCTGTAAAGGGGGCGTGCATAAGCGCACCAGTTTGCCTACCGTCCCTGTCCTGCTGTCCCCATTCATTCATTCCTTCGTTCATGTCCATGTTCATACTTATACCTACTATTTTGTACATGTTTGACAAACTAATAAATAAATAAATGGGCAGGAATGCAAGAGGAAGATCTGTGAAAGTTGAGCCAACAGGCTTTCCCACAGGATTCATTGACAAACAAGTGTCTTTCAGATAATTGTCTAAACTTAGAATGATGGTTGATCAAGAGCAATATTCCATTTTAACAACAGGAAAGGAGTTTCAAGGAACAAAACAATATGGCCTAGTTTTGGGACTTAAATTTAACTAGTTTGTATCTAAAACTAGGGGCTACATAAAGAAAGGGGTTATTTTGTTGCCTCTAGGTAAAGCTGAGCATTTTCAAGCCAAATTAAAGTACAAAAAGCAATTTATCCAAACATCATACAACCAAATTCAATAAATTATTTGCAAATACATTTGTGTATTTTCAAAATTTAAAAGCAATACTGAAAAAACATGAACTTTGTTGCAAGCCACACTCTTATATGATGGTGATGAAATAGCACCATCATGTCATAATTCACTCTAAGTAAGTCATGGCAAGGTTTATGATATAATTTGTACCTACCTCATTACCCCATCCCTTCCCTGCCTCTGCTTGTTTGTGCCTGTTTCCTATTTGGCTGAATGTTCAGTACATAACTCACAACTTAAAGAACTTTCCATGTTATTAAAATATGGGGTTTTGTGTTAACACAAGAAACTGCATCAGTTAGACAAATGTATTTCTTCCTTTGTATATTTACTGATCAGAGTTTCCTTATTTTTCATATAATCAATAATAACTACCTCTAATAGTATGTTAATATGCAGAATATCAGCAGGCAAATAATGTTAACCTCCATGCTTTGAGAAGCTGCTCTTGTGGATTTCAGTGAATTGAACTGCAGTTAAAAATTTAAAATTAATATTAAATTTTAAAGTTATTTTATGGTTAGGATTAAGACAGAGCAAAACACAAATGCACACATTTATAGCAAATTTGTATGAAAAAGCCATCCAGTAAACAAGGCAAACTAGGGTGCAAGCTTGATTTCTATAGCCACAAATTCATGATGACACCTAGTAAGAATATTACACTACGCACAACTACCTCCTGTGCTGGCATTTTACATTTTGGGTTAGAAGTTTGTTTCCTAGTCATGCGCTATCAAGACTCCTGCTCCAGTTTTCTTCCCACCTAAGTGACATTTGTGTTCCAATCATGTGCCAATGCTGTCCTTAGAAGACCCTACCAGGAAAGAGTGAACTCCTCCCTCTCAACACTGGAAAAAAAAATAGCTGGCAATTGAGAGAAAGCAGTTCAGCTGAATTTTAAAGCAGTAGCATTCTATTTTGCACATAATTTCATTGCTTCCCAGAATTTAATTCTACCAGCATCTTAAATATAGATGTTCATTTGAGAACACCTAGGCATGCCAATTAAAATATTGAGGCAAAACGTATTTGCACATGAAAGGGCTCCTTTCATAGTTTAATAGCATATCATTTCCCCAGGAAATGGGGTCAGTTTAGTCCAATATTGACACATAAAAGCCTTAATAGCAGAGCTAGGAAAATCATTGGTAAGCTTTTACAAACTAGTATAGATGATAAGCTAGTTTGATCTGGCATATTGACATATATAAATAACAAACACCTTATGCACTTGGAACTAAAAGTTTCCCCAAGATAAAGTAGCTTTATGTAAAAGAAAAAATGTTTCAAAAAGGAAGAATTAAACTTGGTAAACTACAGGTTTTTCTTTGCATCTGACTATCCTATATAAAATTCTCTGTAAATCAGAAAATTGTTCTGTGCCCAAACAAGTTATATCAGTAGTTTCTTAACACACTACTCTTAAAGAAGTGCTAAATGATGACATGGTAATTCTTGCTAGATAATTGTTTTTACATCATACCAAAGGCAGGTGCGGCCCAGCCTATTCTCAAGCTTATAACCTTGTGTACAAATGTTAGGTAAGTATTAAAAGTTGCCAATTCAACTAGTTCATTTACTGTTCATTTACATTTCCACACAGATAATTGTGTCTCCATCTATTTATATTTAGTGTTGCTATTATTATAGCCAATCAATAATCCAAATTTTCTGGATTGTTACCAATTTACAAAATAGAAAAAATAAATAAAATGTAATTAAATAGCGATAGCACTTAGACTTATATACCACTTTACAGTGCTTTACAGCCCTCTCTAAGCTTTGAAGTATAACAAAATCAGTATGAAGTGAGCTGAAAAATCATATATATATATATATAAAATGGCCAGTATCATATATAACTATATACAGTAATTGTCCAGTAAAAGTCACTTTTGGGGGAAGGTTACCCTTAAGGCAGCTTATAAATATTTTAAATAAATAAAGCGATCTCTTCATTCCCTAGCCACGTGTAAAAAGCATTGGTGGTATTTCTCCACTGGGCTCACCGATAAATCCACGTGGAGACGGATTCTATAACTAATTCTATAACCACCATGCGTGACAGCGTCTCTGAGACAGGAGAGGGAAGCGCTCATCTAAAGTTTGAAAGGGGGCATCGCCTTTCGAGGGTCCACTCCATGGGGATCGCCCCTTCCTCGCGCGCATCTCGTCCCACTTCGCCTGGCGCTCCCGGCGAGGACTCTCCAAAGGGTTAACGCCTCGTCCCGAAGGACCGCTCCCCCTCCCACTGTCCTACGTCTCCCTTGTGCTATTAATAACAGCGAGCACATGCCGTGTCCTGACGCCTGAAGGGGACCAGATAACATGAATGTGTCCTTGCCGGCGACCCTCGCTCAGAGGTTGCCCCATCGGAAGAGAGCAATATGGCGCCTTCCCCACAGTGCCCTCCAAGGATGGGGGTCCTAGCCAATGTCCTGGCGGATCAGCCCCCCGCGGGTCCTCCTTTTATCGCGAGACCCGGAATAGCTATAAATAGTTGGGGAAAGTAAAGGGCTGTCTGTCCGAAGCTGTGTGACTCGACGGGGGTGTCCAGCTGGGTGGGAGGTACCTACCGACGACTCTGTAGGGACTTTTGGTTCCCTCTTTTCTTTGGAAGGGAAGGGGATTTGGCGTGTCGCTCCCCTTCAGTATGTCTGACCAGGCTCTCAGTTTTCTTAAGGACTTTTTGGCGGGGGGGATCGCTGCTGCCATTTCCAAGACGGCTGTAGCGCCTATTGAAAGAGTCAAGTTGCTGCTACAGGTGAGCAGAGTGGCTGAATTTGGAGGTGTGCTCATGCTCTCTATCCATAGAATTTGGGAGGAAAACTGATCAGATCTGATTAATCTGGCACCTGCCATTGGAAAAGCTGTTTGGTTTGGCCGGTGTTTCCAAAAAAAGTAGATAGCAAGGACATTCCTCCCTGATGGAAAACATGCAAGAAATTACTTGGGGACTCTTCCTTATAAGTTTCTCACAAGTTTCTTCTAAGAAATCTTGGAAAGGTAGGGCAAGTCTGCTGTCCCTCAAAGCAGTGCTCTGCATTTCTAGCAAAAAAAAAAAAAAAAAGTCTTCTTGCATGGAGCCAAGTGTGAGGTTGTAAATAGGAGTGGAGTAGGAATTTTAGTGTCAGATGAAGTGACTAAATATGGAAACTGCAGTTGTGCAGTTCTGATGACAGAAGATCAGTGCAGCCTTGTTCTTGGCATAGTATATAGCAAGCTACCCAGGGCTTGAGGAATCTCCATCAGGCCTTGATTATTCTCTTGTATGGTGCACATGGTGTGCCATTCAGCCCAATCAAAAGTAATACTCAATGGGCAGTGCAAATGGAACTGTGCCCTGCTCATATATTTTCTAACCTAGTTCCATTTATTTATTTATTAGTCCAATTTATATGCCGCCCTTCTCCGTAGACTCAGGGTGGCTTACAATGCATTATAGCAATAGCCTGCATACTTTTTTGTATATACCTGCTTATTAGGGCTTTCGCACACACCCCCAAGCGGTGATGTTCTAGACAAAGCTGGCTTATTGCCCCCACAATCCGGGTCCTCAATTTACCTACCTCGAAAGGATGGAAGGCTGAGTCAACCTTGAGCCTGGTGAGATTCGAACTTGCACTAATTGCAGGCAGCTGGCAGCTAAGTGCTAGCACTTAACAGCACTTTAGTCCGCTGCACCACCGAGGCTCCTATTTAAACTAATGTGTTGCATAAAAGTTTGGTGCAAGGCTCAATTGGTAACTTATGGAGAGTGACTAAAAGGACTGAATTCCCCAAAGAGATGCGTACCTGAAAGAAAGCCTCTGTGTATATGAATTGGGTCTCCGAGCTTGAAATAATATAATCTCTTTTCATTTAACACATACAACCTAGTAAAGCCATGCAAAGGGGTGCTTCATAAAGTGTATTGGTATGACCAAAGTGTACTTCTTTGAAATATTAAAACAGATGTGCTTTTTGAAAGGTTAACACTGCAGCTTTGAAGGCAATCCCCGATTGTCCATATTGCATATTCATACAAAGAGAAAGCTGTATTGGCAGTCTCTGGGAAAGTGAAGTAACTGTGAGGGTAAAGGTGAAGCTGCAGCAAATGTACCTGCAGCTAAGGACAACCTGAAAGAATCCATGCAAAGTTTCTAGAGGACACAGCTGCTTTAATACTTGAAAAATGATGCTTCCCTTCTGGTGCATGTTTTGCAAATGCTTCTTTTGAATAGTTTTATACAACTTCACTGTCTAATCACCTTTTAAGATATGTACGTATAGAGACCTAGTACACAGACTTCCCACGAGCAAATATGAACTGGCTAAAGGAACAAATATATTTCTTAGATTTATTTTTTTCAGATCTTATGTCCAAATAAAGTAAACATATGTTTTTAATAGAGTTAAATGTATTGATGCTATTGCTGTTAATTTTAAATTGATAACTGGTTTTGATATGGAACAAAATTCTATATTTTGCAGTGAAACATAAGCTATGTATTGTCCCAAAGGTGCTTTTTTCAAGAGGCAACTGGACTTTCTGAAGAAGCTTCTTGGATAAGAAGCGAAACGTCTTCAAAGAAAAACCAGAAAGTCCAGTTGCCTCTTGAAAAAAGCACCTTTGGGACAACCATGACCTGGATGATGAGAATCTCCATAGTTACGTGTTCAATTTGAGCGAGCAACCCAAGTAACAATTATCTATTATTTTACCCAAGCAACAATTATCCATTCCGTTTTTACTTCCTTTTGTCTTTCTTCCCTCCCTTTTTTGTTTCATTCATTCAACAGGTCCAGCATGCTAGCCAACAAATCACAGTTGAAAACCAGTATAAGGGAATCATGGACTGTGTGGTAAGGATTCCCAAGGAGCAAGGCATCATTTCCTTCTGGAGAGGCAACTTGGCCAATGTCATCCGGTACTTCCCCACCCAGGCTCTCAACTTTGCATTCAAGGACAAATACAAACAGATTTTCCTTGGGGGAGTGGACAGACACAAGCAGTTCTGGCGTTACTTTGCAGGCAACCTGGCCTCTGGAGGTGCAGCAGGAGCAACATCTCTCTGCTTTGTGTATCCTCTAGATTTTGCCAGGACTAGGCTAGCAGCTGATGTGGGCAAAGGGCTGAAGGAGAGGCAGTTCACTGGGCTAGGCAATTGCATTGCTAAGATCTACAAATCTGATGGCCTCAAGGGCCTCTACTTGGGATTCAATGTGTCAGTCCAGGGTATCATCATCTACCGAGCTGCTTATTTTGGCATCTACGATACAGCTAAAGGTAAGAAACAGACATCTAATGATGCTGAAAGAATGATCTGATCAGGCTTCCCCAAGCTCTAGATACTGTATATTCCCAGCCAACATAGCTGTTGAGGGCCCGGTGAAAGGAAGGCTAACCTAAACATAGCTTTGCTTGACAAATTGCATTTCAATTGGTGGGATTTATAAATGCTGCCTACAAATGGATCTCTTGGGTAAATCAGTTGATAATTGAGAAGGATATAGAATTCTTTTTTTCTAAGAAAAAAGGTATTTTAAACACAATTTCCTTTTTGATCTGTAATGTTCAATGATTTATAATCAGTATGATTTGTTCTACATGAAGTAATAAATTGGTTTTCTTTGGTTAATCAACTTTCGATGGTCAATCAACTTAGAGTTAAGTAACAGTCTCTTTAAAAAATAATAGTAATACAGTAATAATCTCTCAAAGTTAGACAATTTGGTGTTCTATATTTTCTTGTTCCATAATGTGCCAAATACCATCCTGGAGAATAACTATGTGCTTGCTAAAATCAACAAAGACTTAATGGCACATGTTGAAATCAAAATATGTCAAATACTCCAGCCTACCCTGGTACAGTTTTCATAGCCTTCAGTGAGCTGCATCTTAATCCTAACTGCATTTGTATAGAATGTAAACCAAGGTTTTACCTAGGATTTATGAAACAAGCCATGATGGTTTGGGTTAATGACATGCAAATTCACACATTTCACTAAGTTATGAAGAAACCACAGTGTAGCTTAGCAATATGTGTAAAAAGGCCATTTGTTTCCAAGTTTAAGAGATGTTTTAGAATGGCAATACAATAAAAATCTCTTTGGACTGAAGTTGATTTGTTGTGAGATACTCTTGACAGCACTTATAGAAGTGGGTTGCTCTTGCCATTTACAAGATTGTATTTTTGACTTGCATTTTAGTCTTCTACTCTGATATGGGTATTACCAAGTATTAACCAGACTTGACTCTACATACCATAGGTTCCCAGTCTCAGCAAGGTTAGCACAATGCTGCCATCTGTAGGAACAAAAAAGCAATGCAGTTAAGAAACTACTAATTCTTTAGATCTAGGACACTTCTTTAGACACTACTCAAATATAAAGAGCTGGCAATATACTACAGTTTTTCAAGATAATGATTACAATGCAATGGCTAGAATGTTGCATTTGAATAGTGGAAGACTAGATTTGAATTCCTGCTTAGTCATGACGTTCACTGAGGGCACAATGCTACAGTAACTAACTCTCAAAATATCCCATAGAATTTATCAAGGCTTTTTTTAATTTAAAAAATAAAAGTAAAAAAACAAATTGTATTTTTAAACTTGTTGCTGACACTTGGCAATTGGCATGTATTTATGACAGTTACAAGGTCCCGGAGTCATGTGTTCTTTTGCAAACTTCTGACAAGCAAAATCAATGAAGAAGCCAGATTCATTTAACAACCGTGTTACTAACAATAGTGAGTCACTTAACAACTGTTGCAAGAAAGGTCATAAAATGGGGCTAAATTCACTTAACAACTGTCTTGCCTAGCAACCGAAATTTTTGTAAGTTGAGGGCTCCCTGTATCAATAATATCTGATATGTAGATATCTTTTTTCTACCAAACAGCTCTGCAATTTTGCTGTTGCATCATGGTAGAGATAGTGTGTAGACAGAGTATCATAGATCTACTGGTGCATGGAATAGAAATTATAAGCGGTACTGATAATTTTTCTCTATTTCTTCCGGTTTTCATCTTTGGGCGATCTTCTCATGATAATAGGCATGCTGCCTGATCCGAAGAATGTGCACATCGTAGTCAGCTGGATGATTGCCCAGAGTGTAACTGCAGTAGCAGGTCTGACATCTTACCCTTTTGACACTGTCCGACGTAGAATGATGATGCAGTCTGGCAGAAAAGGAGGTAAGAAAATAACCGATTTCCTCATCTCTCAGCATTTTCACTTTTGAGACAGTAGAATGACTTGATATCATTTGGCACAAAGCACAATTATTCCTTTATCTAATCAGAAAGAATCTGTTCAACTTACAGGTAGTGGGTTTTGCTCACTGACCTCAGCTATAATCTTGACTTAGTAACTGTTCAAAGTTCCGATGGACTGCCCCAAATGTACATATGACTAGTTCTTATGGCTGCTCCCCCCCATGGTTATGTGGCCACATTTTGGGTGTTCAGCACCTGGCCCACATTTATAGCCATTTACAAGGTCCCATAATGACATGATCTATGATATTTTTGTTGAAAATCAGCATTTACTTTTGTTTTATGGCAAAAATGCCCCATAGCGAACAATAGGTTCGCTTAATGAGCACCACAAAAAGGTTGCAAAATCAGATTCGTCACACTATGACCCACTTTGTGACCACTATGACTTATGGCAGTGTCTATTATGATTGTATGTTGAGGACTACCTGTAATGGGAATAAGTTCTAATGCACTGATTACTCTTTCCCACTGGCTATGCTGTACATTTTCATTTTCAGAAAGACACCTGGGTTAAAATAAAGGCAACAGAGACAAGCTCTGTCTGAGTTCTTATAGGAGCCATGCTCAAATCAGGTCTATTTCTCCTATTTTACTCTTTCCTTTTGAGAAGAAAAGGAAGGGCAGAAAACAGCTAGTTTGTGAAAGAGGCAAGGCTATTCCTGTTAGCTTATTCGGGTATCATCTGCTTCACTGTAGGGCAGGGCTGTCAAACTCCCAGCCTGCAGGCTGGATGCATCATGCGCTGGCCACGCCCATGCCCAGTTTAGTGAAGGGGGGGAAGTCCTTATATGTCATGTGTCACCTCTGTGGCAATGTTTGATACCCCTGGTGTAGGGATATGTTAAATAAACCACTTTCATTACATGGAGAATGGTGGCTTGCTGGGAACTGCTGCAAGCAGGATGAGATGGCGGCAAGGCTTCCGTGTACAGAGCCCCATCTCCAGTGTCAACCACTCCAACAGGACTGCTGGGACTTGATTTAGCTTCCCAGCTACCTCTAGTTCACCATCTTCAGGAGCATTTAATGCTAAGAAAGCTTCAGTTTAATGGCTGCTTTTTTATTTGGAACAAATTTAAGAATGAACACAAACCTTATTGTGGAAATTCAATTTGCACAATTTTGAAAGAAAGTTATATTTATTTGCATTTGTTCTGTTAAACTATTACCTTCAGATCAACACATTTCTTAAACAGAGAGATGAAATTATCTCTTGAGCTTCAAGGTTGTGTTAAGAGAAAACAAATGCAATTATATTTTACAAACCTTTGAAGTAAGGCTTTGAAGTTCTTACTTTGAAGTAAGAACTAGAGAGCAACTTTCCAATTATGCTTTATTTGTTGGAGTTAGAAAAATGATTCGTGTTATACAGGTCTATTTCTCTCTTTCCAGTGATTTACCTGAATATGTTTACTTCCACAGCTGATATCATGTACAAGGGTACAATCGACTGCTGGAAGAAGATTGCTAAAGATGAAGGAGGCAAGGCTTTCTTCAAGGGTGCCTGGTCCAATGTGCTAAGAGGCATGGGAGGTGCTTTTGTATTAGTCTTGTATGATGAGATCAAAAAATTTGTCTAAGCAAGTCAAACTACTTGACTCTTATGTTCTGTTTAGTTACGTATTTACACATGAGTTAAAGGCAACTAAATATTTCCTACGGAAACAGAGGCGGTTACTGAAGGTCAAATCCAGCTGAGAGGTCAAATTGGGGAACTATAAGATTGTTCAGTGATGGTTTATGACATAAGTCAAACTTTTTTGTATGGAAAGTCGAAGAGGGCTTTGTATATATACATTTATTTGACAAAATAGCAATAATATATTCCTATGAATAAAAATATCCTGAGGAGGTGTGTTGATAAAGTATTTAAACAACTAGAAAAGTGAGTTTAATAAACGGTAGAAATAAAACCTTTTTTGTGTGTGATAAATCCACTGCAGAAGTTCTTTCAAGGATTGTAGCTTTCAGATAGTGAAGAGTGTGGGCAGAAATGAGTGTGTGTGCACACGTGTGATGTTATGGTAAAAGAGAGGGGGTAGAGAACAGGGTTCTTTTTCTCACTCTAAGCTAGCAAGAAAATGTTCAACTAGGAGGGTGATTCTGAATCATATAAGACAAAACGGCTATAAACTCTGCAGCAAATAATAGCAAATCACTTCACAGGAAATGCTGTTCTTCATTTCTCCTAATTTTATCTTTAATCACTTTGTTTACATATTGGAAAAAATACTTCTCTCAAATGTATCTCCTTTTTGTCTTGTTAGGATTGCAATGCTCATGCACAATTCCAGAGATGTGGTAGCCTGGATGAGAAAACCCCATTTTGTTTTTTCCCCAGGCCTTAGTATCTCTAAATATTCAGTAGTGATTACAATAACAACCATACTTTTAAACTTGCTTGTGGGTGGGTGCTAAAAGAAAGGTTGCTATTGAATGTGTATAGGAAATCCTCAATTTACAGCAGTTTATTTAGTGACCATTCAAAGTTACAACGGCACTGAAAAAGGTGACTTACAACCATTTTTCACACAAGCATTGTATCTCCATGGCCATGTGATCAAAATTGAAATGCTTGGCAAGTGACTAATATTTATTATGGTTGGAGTGTCCCAAGGTCATGTGATCACCTTTTGCGGCCCTCTGACAAGCAAAGTCAATGGGAAAGCCAGATTCATTTAACAATCGCATTACTACCTTAACAACTGCAGTGATTCACTTATCTGTGGCAAGAAAGGTCATAAAACGAAGTAAAATTCACTTAACTGTCACACTTAGCAACAGAAATGTTAGGCTCAATTGTATTTGTAAGTTGAGGACTATTGTATAATCAGATACAGCTCACCTGCAGTTTTCTTATTCGGTTTTCTTATTTCTTATTTCGGTTTAGTATTGTATGATCTTCGACATATGGTAACAGCATCCATTTTATTTTGTTTGTAATTGTTGGAAAAAGCAAAAGCAGCTTGAGCTGCTAGAACATTCAGTGACAGTACTTTGAAATCTATGCCTTAACAGATTTTGCCTGAGTAACATACAGCATTCGTTCAAAACAGAGGATGAATTGTTCCTGTGTGATTGAAATTTGGCAGTGGTGCCTTACACTTCCCAGAAACCCAGAGGTTGCATGGCACAAGATAATATGGGAGGAGTGTATCCCCTCTCCCTTCATCCAATCAGCTGGCAACAAGGCCTGGCAGGTGACCAGTGATTGGCTGCTTTGAACTGGAGGCCGAAATTTGAAATCTTTTAATGGCAGTGAGTGGTGAGGGGAAGATAAGGGGGTAACTTAGATGCCTGCAGACAAGACAGAACTGGCTAAGGAAGGTCAATTAACCCTTTTCCTTCCTGAAGGGGGCTTGGCAGTGATGGCTAACCTTTTTGCCATCGCGTGCCAAAAGCGGGGGGGGGGGGCAGGGAGGGTTGTGCACGAGCGTGCCCATACCCATAATTGAATGCCCCCCTGCCCCCATGACACCTCCACACTCCCCCCACTTTTGGCACATGACGGCAAAAAGGTTACCGGTGGGCTGGGTAGACCCGTTTTTCGCCCTCCCCAGGCTCCAAAGGCTTTCTTGGAGCCTGGAGAGGGCAAAAACACCCTTCCCCCCCATCCCGGAGGCCCTCCGAAGGCCGGAAACTGTCCGCTTCCTGACTTCTGGTGGGCCCAAAAATCAGCTGGCCGGTGTGCGCGTGCACACTGCAGCTGAGCTAGGGCAACGCTCGTGTGCCCAGATATGGCTCCGCGTGCCACCTGTGGCACGCATGCCATAGGTTCGCCATCACAGGGGCTTGGAGACATGCAGGGTTGGGGAGCGAGGGTAGTTTTCCTTGCATTCTGTGGCCCCCTTTGTTCCCCCTAGCAAAGAAGCAGGCAATTCGGCAGCTGACCTGAGGAAGAGAAGTCTGCTTCATCACTGAGGGTCATGAGGGGAGAGGTAATACCACCAGCCTATATTATATGTGAAAAGGCTGACCCAATGAATCATGGTTGTCTATTACTGTCAGTCTTTGTGATGGAATGTGCATCTAGAGAAGCAATGGTGGAGTTTTGGCAATGCAGAGCTTTCCCAGAAAGAGGTCGGGATTAAGAGATTGAGCAATCCTGAGCTAGATTGGGAAGGAGTGGGAGATGTTTAGGGTAGCCACATCTAAATTTCTCAGGATATATCTAGTGGGTTAGAAGGCGATAGCTTGAGTTTGGCAAGATTCTGTCCATTAGGTGTAAGTAAATAAAGGACTGAACCTGATTGGACTTCATTGTGTCATTTCTGGCCTTGGGCCTGGCAGCCCAGCCAGGTAAACCAGATAAAAAACACGACTACATGAGTGAACTCCACTTTATTGTTAAGGCTACATTAACAAAATCTTGCATGTCTAAAGGTACAAGTTTATTTTCTGATATTTCTTGCTCCTCCCCATCACAGTCATCTTCAACCTTATGGATTATGACTAAATCTAATGAGTTTCTTGAAATACAGGTATTTTTTTGAATCATAATTGAATGTATTCTAAGAATAGATTTCATGACAGCGAGAGTGTGTGAGAGAACTGATAAAATCAATGTGCAAAAAAGTATTAATCTCCTAATTAACGTATTTGAAAACTTTCATCTTCCTCTAGAAATGTATATTGTTTACATTGAGTTTTGCAGTATCCTTCATAGTTGGGAGCTGCATAGATGTTAAATCTGATTGCATTTTTCAGTTAAAAAACACAAAACAATTGTTCATGCATTTAGTACTTCCCTATTATGTCATATCAGAAATCACAATAGAGTGATAATTTTTAGAAGTAATTCAGTCCTATTAAAATCTTTTAAAAGCTGTATATAATTCTGGAGTTTTGTACCTTTGCATTACTGAGTAGTTCACTGATAAAACACATGTGAGCACATAAAATGTATTACATCCATTTTCTGATGTCTTCTGATGACTAGAATATTTACTAGATATAAATCCTTATGTTCTGAAGAGATTGTTTTTCCATAAGTACTTAAAATATAAAACTGGATGGTACTCCAGATAAAATCCTAAAATGAACTCTAGTACTTTATTTATGGGTGCAAATACCACAGCAACTTTTGGAAAAAAAAAATCATCCCAGTATGCAGAAATCGCGTTTGAAATCGTTAGGAAAGATACTGAAATGACAAGCATACTGTGGGCTTCTAGGTATTGTTGCATTTTCCCTTTATACTGTTCCTATTTATAAAGAAAATCAGGTGTAACTCCATAGTTTTTTCTTTAGTATTACTTCAATACTTGCATTTAATTGTGATTGCAGTGTCTTGGTGTCCCTTCATGTAACGCTTATGTTCATTAAAATGCAAATGTTTTGTTCATGTATGTAATTTATATACAAACATAAGTTTACTGTTACAATGTACAGATAATTATGGACAGATAATTGAGATAGACTAGAACTTTTTACAACCTAGAAATACTAAGATAAATACAGATGGAATTCAAACAGGATATTAACTACAAATTATTTCTTAAATCAATGAATGATGGGGAATCCAAATAATATTCTGGAGCAGACAGCTATTACAAATACAATTAAAAGAAGAATGTGATTTTTAAAATCTATTCACAATATTTGACTCAAATTACAGAAAAGAACAGCACGCTGAAGTAATTCAATTAAATAGTTTACTTAATTTTTAAAGGACAGATGTACAATTTTCATACCTTCATAACTAATCACACTTTGTAGTTTTCGACAAAAAAAATATGCTCATGGAAAGATTCCAAAGTGCCAAGTTTTAAGAAGTGCACCCACAAGATTTCTGTTCATTTTTACTTCAAGAAACAAAATTTTAGAGAATAATTTAATAAATATAATTGTGCAAATATATCACAGACCAAAATTGTCAACACATTACAGTATAAGATCTTTAGAGTTCTAGATAATAAACAATACTTTTTACATTTATTTAGATGTCTACTACTTATATAAAATCCGTATTTCTAGAATTGGAGAACTGATCTGAAAAGATTCAGTTTGTTTTTCATGTTGTAACTGACAGCACCAAGGCCGAGTTGTATGTTATATGTTCTCTCTGTCTAACATTTTTATTAGATCTTGTAAATTATGAAATTAAAAGTTTGCAATATAAAGTTACATTAAATTTCATGGTAAGAAATTCAAAATTTAAGACTAAAAACAAATGAATTTTTATTTCTGGTCTACCCTATCCCTGCTTTTCAAACCTCAATTTCATTGACTTTGAGAAAATAAGGTTTGCAATATTGCCACTTTTTAATACAAGTATTGTTTTAAGAAATACTGACTATAAAGATACTGTCCAACACATATTAGAAAGATGAAAAAAGAGAATCAAGATTATATCCATTTATAGTTAATAATACTTTCCAGTATTTTAATTATTCAATATTACAACAGTCCTGCACAGAATTACAGTAATCCCCAAACCATCAGTTTAAAATCTGATAGCAAAGTGCAAATTATTTATAACCAGGCGCCATGAATGTTACTGGGGTTCAACTGCTGCAGTGCACCATTTATCAAAAACTGGTTTTTCACTCCTTCGATTTATAGTACTGGATGTACTATGACTGGAAGTTCGGGATGTACCTCCTGTCAAAATTGTACACAAGAGAGATCATATGGAGTTTTAAGTAAACAATATAAACTTAAGCAACTTTAAGTAAACAGTATAAACATTAAACCACGTAGTAGTGTAAGAAATACTCTCTGGATTTGAACACCAGCAGGTGGGATGCTGCTTATGAAAAAGGTAACCTTGTTCAGTGTTACTGCTGCTACTGGAGGTATAGTCACTCACTTATTCTGGGCTCAGGAGATCAGCATCAATGTAGTATTGTTCTGCCCCAGCTACGGACCCCAAAGAATGCAGCACACACAAACTTTATACAAAGCTTATTTTACTCAAATAACTCAGTCTTTATCAACCAAAGGCTGTTAATAAACTGTCTTAACAGTCCACCAGAATTCTAAGATAAGGTAATCACAGTCTTACTAGAGTTGGCAGAAAGCCCAGAAGCAATTTTTCAGAGAATCCAGACGCGAAGGAGAGTGAACTAAAGTTGTTCCCTACAGTTTGCTGCAAGTGGTGTTCCTCCTTAAATAGGCTAAGGGAGTGGCCAATTAGTCCCAAGCCTTACTCTCGAGGAGACCTCCTCCTGAGGAGCCATTCCTGCCTTTTGGCAGCTCTGCGCGCCCGTGCATTGAGAAGAGGCTCCTCCTCTTCGTCCTCTTCACTTAAAGGAGCTTCTGGAGGTTCTGAAGGCCCTGACTGAATCCCTGCCTCTGGCACCACATCTTCTCCAGACTCCTCACTGTCCGACTCGAGCACCAGCTGCACAGGCTGCTGGCACAGCACACCAACCTCCTCGTTGTTGGAATCAGCTACAATCTGCACAGGCCACTGACGGGCCACAAGTATAGAGCAGGGGTCTCCAACCTTGGCAACTTTAGGACTTGTGGACTTCAACTCCCAGAATTCCTCAGCCAGCAAAGCTGAAGTCCACAAGTCCTAAAGTTGTCAAGGTTGGAGAGGGCTTGGCAAGATGTAGGAACTACTCACTTGGGCAAGTGCTATTTGTACCATACAATTTTTAAATTCAATCCTTAGGGTAAGTGATGTTATTTGTGCTGATTAAAAAAATGATCTCAGTAAACATGTAAATTTAAATAACCTATAAATATTAGAAAAAGTATAAAAGGAGATAAACATAATTTCCTTGCATAGTGAATAGAAATTAAGGCATAGCAGATGACCAGATTTGATTTCATTACTTATATAGTAGAAATAAAGGCCAGTGAGGGTTTTTTTTTCCACACTTCAATCAAACTGAAATTAGCAGATGAAGATTCTGGAATGACTTACTAGATGGACTCTGATGATTCAAGGCAGACTTTCCTCGCCTGGGAGTTCCAGGACTGCGAAAATAGCCCATCTGCCGCTGGTAGTCAGTGAGCTGTTCTGAGCGCTTCATGCCAGTAGTTGGTTTCACTGCTTCAAGTCTTTTCAAAAAAAGCCTTTAATAACATACACATACCTTAATACATTATGACCTGGGATACCAGAATCTCATAATCAAAACCAGCCCTCCACAATCTCTGATGTCTTGGATTACAATTCCTTTACTTTCTCACTAGAATTATAATACTGTTGTTCAACATATCTGGAATACACTAACTTGAAAAAGCTGTTAGGAAGCACTCTGTCTACATGAGAATGGAGAAATAGAACAGGGCAGAAGAGAACATTGTCATTTGATAGCTTTGCCTTTGCTCAACATATACATAAACATTTATATAAAAGGCAAAACTATAAAGGGAAGCCACAATGGCCTGGGACTAGAGCTTTTTATACCTAGTAGTCCATCAATTTCATCACACTGAATATGACAGTGTGAGTGAGGCCAAACAAGTCTCACAAGTCCCATAGGAAATCACAGATAAGATGGTCCACTTGATCTTGTGTCATCTGATGTCTTAGCACAGCAGCAGAAAAAGCCAAAGATGTTCTAAGGGGTTGTGAATTTTACTTTATAAAGCTCTTACATTTTAAGCTAGTTTCAGACAACTAGTTTGCATTGTCATTTGGAATAAAGTTGTTTACAATACTTCCTTTTCTATGTTCTGGTACTTCATTTTGTGATTTAAAGAAAATGGAAACAGAAAAATTGATGTCTATGGAGCAGGAATCTTGTGCATATCTTAGGTTATTATGCCAGAATTTGATTGTTCAAACCGAGTCAGTCATCCAACCACTCTCTCAGGAATCCAAAATGCAGACTATTAACACGTACTATAATTATGAAGGGACGCGGTGGCTCAGTGGCTAAGACGCTGAGCTTGTCGATCGAAAGGTTGGCAGTTCAGCGGTTCGAATCGGTAGTGCCGCATAACGGGGTGAGCTCCCGTTACTTGTCCCAGCTTCTGCCAACCTAGCAGTTTGAAAGGACGTAAAAAATGCAAGTAGAAAAATAGGGACCACCTTTGGTGGGAAGGTAACAGCGTTCTGTGCGCCTTTGGCGTCTAGTCATGCCGGCCACATGACCACAGAGACGTCTTCGGACAGCACTGGCTCTTCGGCTTTGAAATGGAGATGAGCACCGCCCCCTAGAGTCAGAAACGACTAGCACATATATGTGAGGGGAACCTTTACCTTTACCTATAATTATTCCATTTCAAAAGAAAGAAAAATAGAAAATGTGCAGAAAGAAGCCATCTGAGAGGTTTCTTGGGATGTTCTCTATGAGTATGTCATGTATTCATGCATTTTTAGAATATTAAAAAGGGACTAAATGTTGTGGCTTTTGACTGCAGCCTAAAATTTTAGAAATAGAATACAGTATCAAAAATCAGGATCAAAAGAAGGCCAATTTCATCTGGGTAAATTCATAACCCACTCTTCTCTATGTTACATTACAGATCCAATAAAAATCTTTTTTTTCATGAAAAACTACATCATTAGCATTTGAACAGTTCTAGGTAAAAAACTATTACACAGAAAATGAGTTTTCATTTGCCTCAATATTAGTTGCTATGGTTACTACAGCGATTTGGTGGTAGTGGAATAAACAGCTACAGAAATTGAAATTGACTGTTGGCTATTTTTTCAATTATTTCTACTTTATTTTAAGTTGTGGGCTATTAAGTTGTGTGCTACTGACAAAGGTGTTTGCTGATCAATGGCTAAAATAAAATGATAGAAGGACTTAATATGTTCCTTTGCTACTAATTACATCAATCAGTTTTTTCCTGCTTGTTACTGAGAGCAATGAATTCCTTTCTGGTTGATTTTTCTTGTATCTAAGGTAGATGTTCAATTGTGAAAAGAATGTCATTTTAGGTTCACACACAGATACACACACCCACATACACAGATGCATAACAAGATATTTTCAGCATAATTCAAAGATATGCAAATACTATTCCAAATAAGCTCATGCTATAGAGAAATTAAAAGAGGGAGAAAACTGGGTTGAAGCCACATGTTCCATAAACCAACACAGAGTTAAACTTGCTTAAATTTAATTGAAATTAGTGCAGGTAATGAGAGCCAGGTTAGTGTAGCAGCTAAGGCATCTGGCTAGAAACCAGGAGACTGTTGAGTTCTAGTCCCACCTTAGGACAAAAGCCAACTGGGTGACCTTGGGCTAATCACGTTCTCTCAGTCCTACGAAGGAGCCAATGGCAAACCACTTTTGAAAAGCTTTGCCAAGGAAACTGCAGGGACTTCTCTAGGCAGCCTCCAAGGTTTGGACACAATTGAGTGGAAAGAAGAAAGTGCAGATAAATGAACTGCATTGTACCGGGCAAGAAACTGAATAGGAAACAAGCATATTTGATGGGTTAAAAGAATTTTTCTGTCAATTAAATAAAAAGTGAAACAAAATAGTAATCGTATATGACAAATTTACAACCAAGGACCATCAGTTGAGGAACCACTGGAAATCTCATTGTTTATCTCAAAAAAAAAAAAAAATTAAAAAAAAAATTGAGATAAGCATCTTTATGTTTGGGTAGCATCTCTAGAAATCCTGAAGTTCATTATGGCAGTGGTATTTCTAGTGCCTCCATGTATTTTTATCTATATTTGGATACTTTCAGATAATGGATTGTTATCTCTCCTACCCAGAGCAAGCACTTATAAATAGGCAGCATTCAGCTGATGGATTTTCTTCCACTGCTAGTACAATTTAATTACAGGAAAGCTTTGTGATTTAATAAGGTTACACCCACTTCTCAGAGGACAAAACAAATAATGCGGTCTACACTATGTGTTATCGGTAAGTCATAGTTTGCAAGCCCATGGTTTATACAATGCAATACAATTTGCTAGGTGCTCATCTATCATGAGCCTCAAACCGTGTGGACAGACTTGACTAACATACCAAGTCGAAGAAGCCTAGTTTTTAATTAATATTGTTAAATCCAGAATTTCAACTAACCAGATTCTCTCTGTCGATCCTCTGCTGTTCCTTCTGCCTGTTGATGGCACTGTGGTACATTTTAGGTGCTGAGCCTGAAGGTTTCTTCATGGAGGCACTTTTGTTTCTGGGTTTTGCAGAATGTTTTGTCAATTCTTTTAAAAGCCTTTGGTTTTCCCGATCAATTTGTCGTACTTCGTCATTTGTGAATGAATAGTTTTTCCTTGATCCTAGAGAAGACTGATTCAACGCCAGTTCTTGTTGATCCTTTTTCTCCAACTGCAGAAAAGCTTGGGATACAAGTACATATTTAAGAAAACATGTAGCATGACTAGGCTTTTTCAGGATTACTTCAAAACTATAAAACCTATTTTCAGATTTAGCTACACACACCATCTTTCAAACAATGACTTCAGAATTGGGGGGGGGGCAGCTCCTCAGAAGTTGGTAACAGAAGCTTATGTAACAAAAGCCTCTTACACAGCCTTTCTCAGCTTTATAATCACCAAACGTGCTGGACATTAACTCCCATAATTTCCAGAGAGCATGACATTTGGTGGAAATTACAGGACTTAAATTGCAAATATATTTCAAGGATCCAATAAAAAGGTCCAAGCATACAATATGCAGTCATGATAAAATGAAACCCTATACTAACAAGGCAGTGCCATTTCTTTCCAAATAATTACAGTGCTCAAGTGTAATGCACCACAATTCTTGCTTCCAGAAGAAATACACTATAAATATAAACATTTCCTACAATTATCAGAGAATTAATATACATTATAAGGCAGAACCAAAATGAAGCTTATTACAAAAATAATTCATTTGATCATTCTTAAATTGGATTTGGAACTAGGCAATGTGAACACCAGCCCCAATTAGAAATATAAAAGGCATTTCTAAATAGAGCTGGTTGTTTATCTTAGTCAGTACTAAATCAAATTATTCATATGCAATGAGTCCATCCATCCCTCTTTAGCAGATTATCGGCCAACAAGAACTAAAGTAGGTGCTGATTTACATACTCACAATTTTCAGTATAGAATGGTGAGCAGGAGATGGACTTTCCCAAAATTCTGATTGCTAAAGTTTCATTTCTACCCTTTGCATGTTTAAATAAGTGTGTCAGGTGGGCGGTTACATTTAAATAGTTCCAGGTACAAAAAGAAAAGAATCAGTTCGTAACAGTAAGTTGTGCACAATATTAAAATTGCCATATGTTCTTCTTTCTGAAGTGTCTGACATTTTGCTTCTACAAATGTTGGAGAATTGAAATTTCTTGAACACATCTTGCCCACTTCTAATCTATAATCTAAGTGAATTCCTCCCTCTCGGATCATTGATTGATTTGCTGTGATATACCATACTTAAAAAGCTTTTGGCACTGATATTTAATCTCTTTCGAGTCACTACTGTGCTATCAAACGTGTAAATCACTGATTCTGTAATGTAGTTTGCAGCAAATTGGTCTGTGTGACAGATGACTTGGATAGATGTGTCAGCTGTAAAATATTTGAAAATAACTTCAATGTCGGAGAGCCTGAAGATGCTGAATGTATTTAATAGAATTATTAAATTGTTGAATTTATTTTCAAAACAAAACCTCATGCGAAGTTGTGGTATGTACAAAAATGTTGCAGAAAGAGTTAAATGTAACAACAGGAATTGTTCATAAACAGGTCCTTCACCAATCTTAGATAGAAGATCACCAAGACTTCTAATTCAGCATATTACATTGCTAAATATATTTAGGAAAGCAGAGTTTTTGGAAAAGGAACAGAGAGACGAGAGTAGCATGTATAGATCTTACTCAGGATTCGGAAAAAAAACATAAAAGATATGCCAATCCACAGTAGACAGCAGGGAAGAAAGCGGAAGTAAAGAATGCATATGGAGAATAGCACCATGAGATACATTTGGTAAAATAAGAAAGCAGTCAAACCTTTATAGAATTTCACCCCTTTCAATTGAATGCCATCGAAAGCAAGGGGTTTGAAAGTATATGTACCGGTAATAATTATATCAAAGATAAGTAGCAAAAACTAATATCTCCAAGGAATATACAATAGCAAATATAAACTTTATTTTAAAATATAAAATAAATAATAGTTCTGTCCACATTTGCACTATGTAAAACTCGACTGGTATCAGCAAAACTATTTTACACAATTTTTCCAAATTTGAGAATGTAGTAAATGTTGCAAGACACATAAAATGGACATTACAGTACTTTCAAATCAATGATGGCTGATTTACTTTAACGAGCATATAAGTAGTCTGTTCCTCAATGTATAGCTGAAAATTTGGATTCTAATATACAAGTATTGATGTAATACTTGGTTGTCATCTGATAAAGATTCAGGGGATAATTTAACAACCAGCTACAAGGTTCTCTGTGATCAGTAAAGCCTTACTACTTCACAGGAAAGCTGTTGTAAAATCAAAATGTCTTACTCATAATGTTCTAGACTAGAGGATAAAGAAGCTCTAAATGGGAAATAGTCCTGTTTCACTACCATTTCCATAAATCTTGTGAATGAGAACTTCAGTTTTAGACAACTGCCAAGCAATCTTGACAGTTGCTGAAAGCATCAATGCTGTTTGAAAGAGGTGCCTTAGAATGTCCACAGGTCATGTACCAAGTACCTTCCATCAAATAATTAAAGCACCTGTAGTTTTTTCTGGCTTATACTGCTGCTTAAGAAACTACTCTCTGCTCTTTCCACAAGTGCATGCATATATTCTGAAACAACTCTTCATAAGCATTTGTACCATCTTAGTAGAAACTACAATGTCCATGAACATCAAGAATAGACAGGAACAGAAAGGATACTACTTACAGAAGTTGAAAACAATTATCCTATAACATCTCATTTAACTTGGGGACAAAAGACTCTCAGAATAGTGTCTTTCAACCAGAATTGGCTTGGCCAATACACAGGAAAAAATGTTGATATTGCTGTACTTAAGCAAAATTAGGGATCAATGCTAGGAAGAGATACTTCTCGGTTACTATCCCACCATTGCAGAATATCCTTCCCTGCAAGATTCAAATCTTCTGACCCTGCGGGTTTTTTGGTTATATAACATCATTTCTGATTTCCCCCCGTTTATTTGTAATCCACTGTATTTCCCAAATTCATTCAGGTGTAAATATATCCTCTCTATAATAACTACGGGATTTTGAAATGTTAATAATGTATCATCTGCAAATAAATTTCTTTTAGTTTTCTTCTGTACATCTATTCCTTCAATCAATCTTCCCTAATTGCATTTGCCAAAACCTCCATCAATAATGCAGATAAAACTGGGGATAAAGGGCAACCCTGTCTCATTCCCTGGCTTAAGGTTATTGTCTCTGTAACATCATCATTTATAACTATTCTTGCTTTATTCTCTGAATATAGTTGATTTATCACTTTTCTAAAATTTTTTCCAAAACTCAATTTCTCTATTAATATCTTCAATGTAGGCCATTCCACACAATCAAAGGCCTTAAATACATCTAATGCTAATACACCTGCCTTTAATTTTTGATTCTTTATATAGTAACCTATATTTAATACCCTTCTTACTATGTCTGACATTTGTCGGCCTCTAATAAATCCACACTGGTCATTTTTAATATAATTTTCTGTAAATATATTCAATGTATTTGCCAATATTGCTGTAAAAATCTTAGCGTCCTGATTAATAAGGGATATTGGGCTATATGATCCTGGGTTTGTATGATCTTTACCTGGTTTCGCTATCAGTATTATCAAAGATTGCTTCCAGGAACTTGGAATATTTTCCCCTTCCATTATTTTATTAAACATTATCTTCTTCTTCGGCACCAATAGTCCTTTAACATTTTTATAATATTCTATGCCTAGTACATCTAATCCTGGTGCCTTACCTATTTTCAATTTATTAATAACTTCCACTATCTCCTTTTCTTCTATTTGTGATTCCATTATTTCTTTATATTCTTGAATTTTACAATTTAAATTCTTTTTATATTGCTACAGTATTTAAAATTTGATTTCAGCCATTTTGCTCATCATATTGCTATGGCAGCCTCTAATAAGCATAATGAGAAGAGCTAAATAAATAAATGTTCTAGAGAAGAGAGATTCTAAATGGGAAATAGTCATTTTGGTGAAATTCAGCATTTTCACTATCATCTCCATAAATCTTGTGTATGAGAATTTCAGTCTTAGACAACTGTCAAGCAGTCTTGAGAGTTGCTGAAAGTGTCAATGCTATCTGAAAGAGCTTTAAAGCTGAAGAGTTAGGTGGGATCCAATTTATCCATCACCCCATCTTCTCTAGGTAGAATTTGTGACCATGTTGAGGATTATTTGAGACTCAGCTCAATTTAGAAATTGTAGAGAATATTCGTAGCTCAGGTTATAGGTTTAGGCAGAGGTTTGTCCTCTGAGCTTGCTGCATGGCTCCCAGACATTTCACTATCCAACTAGGTAACATTGTCAGCTAGGTAATATCTTCAACCCCCCATGTTACCTGGTTTAGTAACAAAACGTTCATGAGCCAAGCAGCAAGCTTGGAGGACAAACCTCTGCCTAAACTCAGCTCAATGCTGGTGCACCTTGGATGTCCATGGGAAAGTAGCAACAGAAATGCTTTCTGACCTTGACTATGGTATTTGTCTTGGTCAGAAAAAAGAACCTTTGCTATAGAAAATGTGGTGACCAAAGATAATCTTTTTATAATATTAAAATTCAATTTTCATATTGAAATGTGGAGAAACAGCTACATGCTATTAAATATTAAACAATAACTTACACATCTCAACCCTTCATTGCTTGATGCCTCTCTATATAGAGAATGTCTTCTATATTAGAATGCTTTAGTTTTCTGCAATGGATAAATTACCCGTGTCTTGTTCTATCATACAACCCTATGGAGTACAGTTGGAAATACATTGTTTAGTACTTGAGACATAGTAATTCAACTAAAAAAATGTAAGTAAAGGCCCCAAACCCCAGATTAAACAACACTTCTTTTAAGAGTAATGAACAACTTCTAACATTAACATATACCAAAAAGCATTAAAAATATATTCTGTGAACCTCTGACCTTCTCTATAAACAATGCTGTGAACAAAAAAAAAAAATCTTATCAAAGACTAGCAGGTCAACAAACAGGTTATTTCCTATCTTTTTTGTGTGTGTGCAAAAAATGTGTGGGTGGGAACGTTAAATATAAGAATTCTTCAAGAAACTGACTCAGCCACTCTAATGCCATCTTCATTAAATGGATTGTAATGTGCTGCCCAGTTCCAGATTAGAAAGGAGGTAAATTTACTTTCTCTGTGGGTGGCTGTTAGCAATTTTTAAGCTGTTACCCAAAGGCGTCCTAGGAAGGAAACGTTCTTTATTAATAATAAACTGATAGGCTGAGTCTGGATGAAAAAACTTTTATTTTAGCATTGACCTTGTGAAATAACTTTCTTTCCGGCAGCCTAAAATGTCCCATTTCTTAACCTGATAAAAAAAAACCTACAATATATAAACTATAGGTTCATAGAATTCATGTACTGATGAACAAAGGTCTTGTTCGATATTTAATAGAGAATATGTTAACATCAATCCAGAATTGGTGTCATAACACCCTGAACTGGGGCCCCAGAATATAGAGGAAAAACAAGTTTATCAATTAATTTAAAATTCACACTGTCAATGAAATGACAAATGTTGCTCTAGATATTGAAACCGCCAATGTAGACAGCCACAGAAATTTAAAGTTGCTAAACCTGGACATCATACAGGCTGTTATATTTGATGCCATTTTTCCTTTTAAGCCATTCCCTGAATTTGCTGGTAATTCCTTTTGCAGGACTATGGCATCTATTAGAGAGAACTAGAATAGCTTGCTCCTAAACTCTAATATATAATATATGACTGAAAAAGACAGATGTATGTATTTCTATGACTCTGACAACAGGACAGCTATGGCAATTCCAAATAATACTGAAAGGACTGTAATTAGACAATATTTAAAAGATTGTTTGTGGAAAAAGAGATCTTAAACTATATATTTTTAAAAAAATCTGACATAGTATCCCATACAAGTATCTTCTCTTCTCCCCTTAAAGTTCTAAACATTTTACAGTTTCCCACTTTGTTTTTCTCACCTATTTTCTTTCAACACAGAGAGAAACAGATACAGATACCATATATCAGTTTTAATAACATGAAGAAATCCTGCTTCCAGCTCTTCAACTCTTGAAACATTTCTGACTGCCAGCCTGCCTTAATAAAGAATCTGCTTACATCAGCAATACATCACAATACCTTTCTATAAGACTTCTCATATCAAGTGAAGAACAATTAAATGGGACAAAGTATTTGAAGATCCATTTATTGATTTTACATTTGCAGTTGAATTTATGGTTAATGGCATTACAGCTTTTTTTTTTTTAAAGGTTTTTTTAAAATGTAACAACTTAGTAAGGGCATAGTAAGTTGATTTGGTCAAACAATGGCTATTTACAGTTGTAAGACAAATATTTTGGACTGAACCCAGAAACCAACTAGTAACTATTGCAGGTTTATCAATTCTATATTACGAATTCTTGTCACATTTTAAATTAACTGAACCTTTTGGTTTCTTTCAGGGATAGTCCTCTAGATTCTGTTGCATCATCTAGACAAAAATAAGTATGAACATTAGGATTTCCAAATCTTTAAAGTTTCATTTCAATGAAGATTGGAGTGAAGTAATCCATTAAAGCACTGTGCCTCAAATTGGAGGGCTTGAATGGCTGTGGTGGTTCAACTTAACAATGGGGCTTTTGGGAATGCACAGGTCTCTTAGGAAAGACCAGTGAATCAGCTTTCACTTTAGTGCTTAACAGAAGAAAAGTATCTTATCTCTTTGAGACACTACCACAACAAGGAAAAGCGATGCATATCAGGAAAGTGAATCAACTGAGATCCTCTCAGGTATAATGAATAACAATTGCCATATTAGATTAAATCAGTGCCGGTATAATTATGTCTACCCAGATGTTCTTCTTTACACTATATGAAGATCTGGGAAAAGAGAATCAAATAGATTTTGCAAGCTATAAATCTGATCATTTAGGGCAGGGATGTCAAACTCGCATTGTCACGTGACTTATTATGACTTTCCCCCCTTTGCTAAAACAAGGGAGGGTATGGCCAGCGCATGACGCATCTGGCCCACGGGCTGCCAGTTTGACACCCCTGGTTTAGAGGAACCACAATCTCTTCCAGAAAATGTTAAGAAACTACATTTCCAGTCTACTGATCTCAATTTATCTAGATTAAATTTCAATTAGTTCTTCTTTATCCAACTCATTAGAATCAAATAATATTCCAGAAAAGTTAATGATTCCTTAGAAAGGAATAGAATAGAGCTGAGAATCATCAAATTCTGAATAATCTCAATGATTTCATGTATATATTACCCAATGTGCAAGAACGAACACTGTAGCCAAGAACGTTAGTGCTGAATGAAGGTCTCACAGCACCGGTTTCTAGAGAACCCAATAGTAAAGATTTCTATTTCTGCTATACAGAATTGCTGAAGCCCAATCCCACATTTGTAATAATGTGGGATATAAACATAAAAATAAACAGTATAACAAAATAAAAGTTTTCAAGAAGTCCAGGAAAACTAAAAGAAGACCCTCCTCACTAAGTCACGATGTAGATTATTCACCAAAATGACCAAAGTAATGAATTGAAATTTAAGGCCCAACTGAAATGCATTTATAATCAAATAAACCTCAAACATCAAACTTAAAAAGGAACCTCCCTAACTTATCAGGCAGTAGAAGAGACTGCAGGAGATTTGTATTTTCAGACATGCAAGATTCATAGTAATGTAGCCTTACTATGAATTAGCTCATCTGCTCTGTTTCTTGTCTGACCTACCTGACAGAGGTCTATTAAAATAACAAAACAACCTCAAAGCCAATTGTTCACAGCATCAGGTCCTCTGGCTTCCAAGCTAGTAATCCTTCCATAGGTTTCATAAAAATACCAGTATTGCTTTTACATAGGTGATACTTTAATATCTTTTTCCAAAACTAGATGTCATGTTTATAAATAAAAATTATTTAACGGTCAATGGTGCATCCAAAGCTTTAGATGCAACAGTGGACGGAAAAGCTACAGCAGCCAAATATATTCTGTATCATGACACAGGCTCCAAGTGTTTGAAGTAAAAGATGTAGTCATAAAGATACAATTTTCATTTGCATATCCATTTCAACTGAGTGGTGTGTATATGTGTGATTAACCATGCCCAGCTTCATTTGAAAAATACGTAATTTATTACAAAAAGTTTTAAACTAAGTTGTGCTTGATTTATTTCAATTCATACATTTTTACTTACATTACTATGTCTAGAAAATATAAAGTAAGCGTAAAGAATGCATAAGTGAATAATGGACATATTTTTCATATTCAAAGCAATCCATCAATCCATCCATCCTTCCTTCCTTCCATCCATCATCCAAAATACTATATTGGAATGCAATTACAATGAAAGAATAAGGAGAAAAATGATATTGAAGAATTAAAAGAAAAATACCTTTCAAAAGGTTATTCAAGTCCATAGCTTCATGTAGTACCTTTTGAAGACATTTGTGATCTACCTCAGGTTCTAATGAGAAAAAAGTATAAACAGGTATATTAAGTCTAGTGTTGCTGCCATGTATATGCTGTAATAAGTTCTGCAAACTTACCATATAACTCCTGGCTCACATTTTGTTGTCTTTTAACCTTAAATTTCTTATCATTGGATGCTGCCACTTCAAAAGATTGGATGGGACTGATATCTGGGGTTGACAGAGGAGTTACATCAGTAACTGTATCTTCAGACTCTTCTGTCTGGTCACCCAATTTTGATTTTACTTCCACTGACTTTTTTCCTTGGCTTAATTGTTGTTCTGATGAAAGAAGTGGTGATCTTATGTTTTTCTTTTCTGAAGAACATGATGAGTCTGACAGGCAACCATCAGATCCTGTGTCTGAATAATCTGTATCAGAACTAGAAGATGAGGAAGAGGAGGACAAAGAACTAACATTCCTATTAACCTTTGTACCATGAGGCTGTTTAGAGAATTTATGTCTAACTCTCTGATTTCTGCCATCATCACTACTGTCTTCTTCATCTGTGTAGTAATTTTCTTCACATTCTTTCTCTCTTAAGGGAGTTTGCACTGGAATGTTTTCATGAAGGGTTTGTTCATTTTGTGCTGTGATTCGATCAACTGGATCCTCCAGGTTTAAAGAAGATAACAAAGGAAGAACATTATTTGAATTATGAGCACCATTGCCTAACATGAGTTCCTTTTGAGATTCTACCTGTTGAGCTTGCTTTTCTTCCTCAATACTGTTATCCTCCATCACTTTGGCTTCCTGTTTCAAATGACAATCATCTGTAACTGAACATTTTATTTGTGCAGGCCCAGAACTTTCCATTTTATTTATTTCTGTTGTTGCTCTGTCTTTCTTCCCCTCTTCTTCAAAATCGCTATCAAAGAAAGAGTGATCCACTTCACAATCAGATATATCTTCATATCGGTCCATACTGAAGTCAATACTGCTTAAGTGTTTTCCCTACAAAGAGAAAACAGTGATTATACCACTCACTGGAAGAAAAATCTTTTTCTAACCTTTTATTACAGCAAATCTTTTCCCCCAAATATAAATTTAACTTATCTTCTTCAAGCAGCAGCAGCAGCAATTAATGCAATATTCTATTGTTTCATTTGGTACAATCACATAACTCAAGTTGCTTTAATACTGTTCAATAGTAATTGTATATATTGAAAATATAAGTCTTGTGGATTTACTAACTTTTATTTTATATCAAGTAAAGAACTACATAATTTAAAATACCGGTAACACTAGAAATAAAAATCATAGGTGGATTATATAAATTCAAAATGTCAGGAGTAATGCAGACACTTAAGGAGACCTGGAAATAAAAAAAATCCCCCCCAGTGTGGTACCTTGACATTTTCAAAACTGAAAAGAGAGGGAATAATTTCCTCTTTCGTCTAAAAAGTTTGTGTGGTTATCTACACCCTCTATTATTGACTAATTCATTTAATTTGTCATCTCCATCTGACGCAATGTATAGATTTTTCCATTTCTTTTTTCATTCTCTCCTTTTTTTTTTTTATTATAATTTTTATTAATTTTTTTTTATACACAAATAAAATATAATAACAATTCTGTTTAACATCGGATTCGCAGTGTTTATACATAAATACATGAATAAGTGTCTGGTGTCAGTTATACTATACATTTCTAATTGATTTCTGCACCTTTTGTTTCTTCCTTAATTCTACCATTTATCCATTCGTACCATCTTCCCCACACAGTATCATAATCAGAATTTTCATCGTCATTTATCTCATGAGTTAATTTACTTATCTCTGCACACTCTAATATTTTATTAATTATAAGGTCATCTGGTGGTAGGTCTTTCTTTTTCCAGTATTGAGCATATGCTAGTCTGGCAGCTGTAGTTATGTGTATTAGGAGGTGGACCTTTTCCTTTACGTATCCTTTCTTTACCATTCCCAGGAGAAATATTTCTGGGTTCAGATCAATGTCTTCTTTAAGTATGTCTTTCAACCATCTCCAAATTTTGCTCCAAAACCTTTTTGCTTCGGGGCATGTCCACCACGTATGAAAGAAGGTGCCATGACCATGGCCACATTTCCAACAGTTTGGCTGCGCATTGGGGAACATCTTTGCTAATCTTGCAGGTGCCAAATGCCACCTATGAAGCATTTTGTAGTGATTTTCCTTATATGTGGCTGCTCTAGTTAATTTATAATTTTTATTCCAGGCTTCTTCCCATTCATTAAAATTCAAACTGTGTCCAATATTTCTCTCCCATGCTCTCAATTGATTTCTAATTATATCCTCATCTCTGTCTTCCTCTAACAAATAGTTATACAGCTTGGCCAACGCTTTTTTTCCCTGGTCCCATCAAAATTTTGTCTAATCCATTATATCCTAATTCTAGGCCATACTCTTCTTTATCTTTCTGATATCTTGATTTTATTTGCAGATAAGTCCACCAATCTAAAGTTATACCTTGGTCTCTCAGGGCTTCATTAGATTTAATATTTCCCCCTCCATCGACAATGTCTTTGTATCTGCACAATTTCTCCATTCCCCACCTGTTGGGGTAAATCATTGCCTCTGCCGTGGAGAGCCAGTTTGGGACTTTTGAATAGTATCTCTGCCTGATTCCCATCCACGTTTGTATTAGGGAGTCTCTAATTTTATGCCTGTGGAAATAGGTTTTCTTTTTATTGTCTTTGTCCCATAGATAAGCATGCCACCCTTTCTGTAGGTCATGTCCTTCTAGCACTAAGGTTCTCTTATTCTCCAGGGTGATCCAATCCTTTATCCATATCAGCTTTGCTGCTCTATAATACATTTCCCAATTTGGAAGTCCAAATCCTCCCACATTCCTTTTTTCTTGTAAAATTTTAAGTGAGATCCTTGATTTTTTTCCCTCCCAAACAAATTCCCTAACGATCTTATTTAATTCTGAGAAAAAATTTTTCTTTAAAATTACTGGTAAATTTTGATATAAAAATAAGATCTTGGGGAGGATGCTCATCTTAATTGCCGCAATTTTGCCAATAAGTGATAATTTGATCTTTTTCCATCTGTCCAGATCTTGTTTTAATTTATTAATTAATGGAGTATAATTGTCTTCTTTTAGAGATGAGCACCTTTTGGTTAGCCAAATTCCTAAGTATTTTATTTTTGGGACAACTTGTAAGCCCAAGGTTTCTTCTATCTCTTTCTTCTGCATCTCAGTTACATTCTTAGTAAGTATTTTGGTTTTAGATTTGTTCAATTTAAAGCCTGCCACCTCCCCGTATTTGCCCAATTCCTCTAGTACTTTTTTGTCCAGATATTAATGGGTCTTCTAATATTAACGCCACGTCATCCGCAAAGGCTTGCGTTTTATAGATCTCTTTTCTAATTTTTAGGCCTTTAATTTCCTCGTTATTTCTAATGTTCCGTAGCAAAACTTCCAGAGCCAAAATGAATAGTAGCGGTGACAAAGGGCAGCCTTGCCTTACACCTTTCTTAATTTGAAAAATTCTTGTCCTGTCACCATTTACTAGAATGCTCGCCCTCTGATTATCATAGATAGTTTTTATCATTTTTTCGAAGTTTTGCCCGAATCCCATTATTTTAATTTGCTTAGTCATAAAATTCCAGTTTAGATTATCGAATGCCTTTTGGGCATCCAAAAAAACTAAGGCCAGCTGCTTTTCTGGATGTTCTTCGTAGTACTCTAGAGTATCTAATACAGTTCTCAAGTTGTCCCTAATTTGTCGTCCCGGGAGAAATCCATTTTGGTCTTTATGAATCCAATTATTTAATATTTTTTTGGTTCTTTCTGCCATTATACACATGAATAGTTTGTAATCAGTGTTTAGAAGTGAGATCGGTCTATAATTTTGAATTTTTTTTGGGGTCAGCACCTTCTTTCGGCAGTAGTGTGACATGAGCTTCCCTCCACGAATCAGGAATTTTTGAGCCCGTCAAAACCTCATTAAAAATTTCCATTAATTTGGGTTGTAAGATTTCTTCCAATTTTTTGTATATTTCTCCTGGAAATCCGTCTGGGCCAGGTGATTTGTTATTTTTGAGTTTGGAAAGGGCTTTTTTAAATTCTTCAGTTGTTATCTTAGCGTTTAGCATCTCCTTCTCTTCCTCCGTTATTTGCGGGAGCTCCGCCTTTGCCAAGTATTGGTCTATTTTTTCCTCCGAGGTCTCCTCTTCTTTGTATAAGGATTCATAGTACTCTCTCGCTCTTTCTAGTTTATCTTCTTCTTTATTTAAGAGATTTCCCTCAGCATCTTCTAATATCTGAATTGTCCCTTTTTCATTTTCCTTTTTTAATTTATAGGCCAGCCACCTGCCCGATTTATTTGCATTCTCAAAATAGTGCTGTTTTGTTCTTTTTATTTTTTGGGCTAGCTCTTCTTGATCTAGAATATTTAATTTATGTCTCCATACCATCCAATTTTCTTTTACTACGGTATCTCCAGGCATTTTCTGGAGTTTCTTTTCTGCTTCGTCTAGCTGTTTAATGAGATCTTCCCTAGATTTTCTTTTTAGTTTGTTTTTATATGCGGTATAGGATATTATTACCCCCCTCAAGTAGGCCTTCATTGTGTCCCAAACTATTTCACGGGGTGTCCCTTGATTCTCGTTTTCTCCAAAAAAAGTCTTTATTTCTCCTCTCAGTTTTTCTACGCACTCTTTGTCACATAATAGTTTTGTATTGAACCTCCATCTCTGTTGTTTCTTTCTCTTTACATTTCTCCATTTTATTTCCAGGGGATTGTGGTCTGCCCAAATGTTTGGGCTAATTTCTGCCATCTCTATTTCTAACCCCAGCGTCCTGGTAACCCAAGCCATATCTAATCTCGACCATGACTGTTGCGAGTTGGAATAGAATGTAAATTGTCTTTCGCTTGGATGCAAAGTTCGCCATATGTCGATTAAATTCATTTCCTCCACCAGATCGAAAAAGGTTTTTGGTAAAGTCACTCTTTTGTTTTTATTCATTTTGTTGCTTTTATGGTCGTTATCTGAGTCTACAATTCCATTGAAATCACCTATCATGCAGATTTCATTATGTTCCATATTCCCTAATTGTTCACGTAACTTTTGAAAAAATTCTCCTTGTTTTTTGTTTGGAGCATAAATGCCCACTAGTAACATTTTAGAGTTTTCTATCGTAACTTCAACCATAAGTATTCTGCCCTTTGTATCATTATATTTCAATTCTGCTTCAATTCCTTTTTTAACATAAATTGCTACCCCTCTCTTTCTTTTTTCTGCTAATGAGGTAAATAGTTTACCATATTTTTTATACTCCAGACATTTGCCCTCATCCTTTTTTATATGGACCTCCTGTAAGCAAATTATGTCCATATTTTGTTTTGCTAGCTTTGTAAGTGTTAATTTCCTTTTTTTTACTGTCGTTTAAACCATTGACATTTACTGAAATTAATTTCAAATCCTTCATTCCTGTTTTCCTTGCTCGGCTTTAGTTCTTATTTAGTCTTACGGCTCTTACTGGTCTTATTTTTTTCTCCTTAGCTTCTTCTTCGGTCTTCTTCTCCTCCGCGGTTTCTTCCTCTTCTAGATTTGTCGCCTCTATTTCCTCCTTACTACTTTGTTCTTCTTCTGCGCCTCTTAACTGGTCGAGAAAGTCTTGTGCTGTGCTCAAGCTGTCTATTTTTATTTTTTTCCCCTGCCAGGTGATTAGCATCCCCTCTGGCAGGAGCCATCTGAATAATATATTTCTTTTATTCAATTGCACAGCCAAAAATCTGTATCCTTTTCTCACCTCCCTCACTCTTCTCGGGATCTGTTTTAGTATTATCACTTCTTTTCCTCTGTATGTTATTTGTCCATCCCTCGCCATACTGTATAAAGTATCTTTTACTTTTTTTCTTGCGAATCTAATGTGGACTTCTCTGGGGAGCCTGTTCCTCCTCGCATAATTTGTTTGGACTCTATAGACGTCGTCCAGTTCTCTAATGATCTCGCGTTTGTCT